ACTGTCTTTCAAAGTGCAGTCAGGCACTCACTACAGTACCTTATCATATTAGTAATGAGTATAAATCCGAGCATGGTATTAGACTTATCTTTCTTTCTATATAGGTATAACTGTATCAGTTGCTGCAACAAGCTACAACATTCTACAACTCTTTAAATCTCTCTTGTTTGCATTGTCTTCTTTTTAAGCTCAACTCCTCATCATAAAACGAGATGTGTTAATATTTCAATTATTATCAGATGAAACATGATAAGTGCAAATTTATACATTTTTACGTCAAAGTACCTTACAATTAATATTAAATATATGCTTAAAAAGGGGCAATTTAATTTAAGTTAATCTAACTATATGAGGCCATTAAAGTTGAGAAAAATGTGTTGATTATGTGTTCTTTTTTTTTGCCCAAACAGCAGCCCAAGGTTGCTACCCATAACAGCAGCCCGTGAACAAAAAGAAAAGAAGAAGAAACAGCAGCAGCCCAGACCCAAAATCGAGATCGAGAGAGAGACGTGGGTAGCCAAACGTGGGTTGATTGAGAGAGATGGAGGTGCGATTTAAGGCTATTCGATTGGAGGGAGAGGAGGACAGCAGGCTATTCGATTGGAGAAGTCGGAGACACAGGGAGCGATCGAAGAGGACAGCAAAGGGTTGTTCGATTGGAGAAAAGGAGAGTAAAAAGAAGCAGAAGTCGAGAGAGACAGAATCGATGAGAAGCAGAAACCGGGTAGGAGAAATCGRGAGGAAGCAGTAAACAGATTTTCAGAATTTTTGGAGTCGATTTTGGATTTCTCAATTTCAGTTCTTCATACTCTACTGATTTCTACCGTCTGTAAGTTCAATTTCTGTTTCAAAATAGAGTTATGAGTTGCTGATTTTCTGATTCTAGTGATGAGATTATAGTTAGTTTGCATTGAACTTTGTTGAGACTTGTTTAACATTGAAACTTAATTGAATTTTATTTGCACAATTCTTGTTCAGAACCATTGTTCATGTTTGGGATTTTGGTTTTGAGAAGGATCCCTTGAATCCTTTAGCCTAAATTTGAATTGCTAGCTGTGATTAGGAATCTGTAATTGTTCTTAATTTCCACTTGGTAGCAAATAGTGCATCAATAGATAACCAAGTTCACTGATTTGCATTATAGGACTGTGTAATCTAGCTTAAATGTTCGGGTTTCCGTTCATTAGTTAGGATTGGTGCTTGTTTATTGCGTAAGGCAATTGGTAGGTTGAATTTTGCGTCCGTGACTAGAATCAACTTAATCAATTAGGAACTAGTCTACCGAGCTTCTCATGCTAGTTTAATTATAAAGACAAGCTGAGTGTTTGGCACGTGCCGACACTCACGACCGGTCTAAAATCTTTTGAGAATATGTTTTTATACAAGTCAATGATACATGATTTTATAAAGAACTATTTATACTCATCACTAGAATTTATTCGTTATTGTTTAAAGTACTCAATTTAATTTACGTAATTAGACCATTTATCAATCTTCCAACCCCCCCCCCCTTTTATATATACACGCATTTTTTTATGAATTTGCACTCGGTTACGTCTTGGATTTACGGTTAACACGAGTCCCTGAGAAGACGACCCTACTTTATCGCTATCACAAGTTGTATTTTAGAGATAATAGGCTTATTTTTATAAAATTCTATTATTTGTCGGACTCGACACTCGTCAAAACATCAAGAAATGAAGTGAATAGTGCAGTTGATAGCTATAGCGAAAGCAATTCATGCACGGTTGGCTTATCCTTCCAACCTTCACTCAGATCTAAGCCAGGGTAATTAGCCTATCATCATTATACAAACAGTGTATTCTCTATTGTATTGTTTGGTTGATTTCAAAAAGTAGATAATATCTTCAAAAATCAACAAAAAGACTTAAAGCATCCATGTAATTAGCTACATGCATGCTTCTGATTAGTTGATTTCAAAAAGTAGATAATATTTGTAGAAAGTAGATAATATCTTCAAAAATATAAACAACACTTTTTCAATCCAATCAAATCGTTAGACGTCCCTTGCTGTAGCAACCTCCATACTGCTGCAGCAACTTCACTGTTCAGCCCAAAATTCATCAAGATAGATTATTTCCACTTTGAAGCTCCAAAACAAGAAAGATATAAAATCAACAAAAAGACTTAAAGCATCCATTTAAAGATGTAAAACATACAAAAAGAAATGGGGGAAATTATGTTATAGAACGGACATAAATCATACTCATCACACCCCTAAACTTGAATTGTTGCTTGACCCCAAGCAACTAAAATAACAAAAGCAAGACTTAAAACATGGATAGAGCAAAGCTAAAACAATATCATATTTCGTTCTTCTTTTTTCCTAATTCTTTTAATGCATTTCAAAATTTTCCTCAACACGTTAACTATGTTACTGTTACCATCTTATTTTGCTTATGCTTACCATAGGCTAAACTAAGATTTCTTTGTTAGATTCAATCCATGGGACTTAAGATCCATAGGACTTCAATGGGTCTCCTCGAATTTTGGTTTTTGTCATGGAATCATAATATTCATCGTTGAATGCTTTTTTCTGTCTTTCTTTACCGTAACAATCTATTTTTTTGCTACACCAACATTTTCACTGGATTCTTCTTGATTTTTCTAAACTTCTGCATATAGTTACACATTACTATATCATCTGTTCTGGATAATTCCTCTCCCAAACTTTAAGAACAACAATGCACTCATTTCATTGTAAGAATAGGAGGAAAGGAACAAGGGTAGGGAAGAAGTGGTTGCAAAAATATAATGGTGTATAAGCAAGTATTCACTAAATATGGTTTATGTCATATCCTAAGTCCTTGTAGATGAATCAAGATTATGACCAAGAATGCTTTGTTTAGTTCTAGAAAGTAAATCAATAAGCAAAAAAAAGTTAGTTTCAGAATGTTTTAACAATTTACTTGGGTTAGTATAAGAGGTAACTTCACGCAATCATTGTGATGAGCAAAAGAAAAAAAATGCACGTGTGTTGGTCATGATATTCAATTTTAGTAATGATCTGTCATGCATACAAGAACTCAAGATAAAATCAAAATAAAAAAATTGTAGCTGAAAGGATCGTGGATCTCCCTTAACCATTAAGAGCCCTAATTTCATCGTACACAATTGCCAACACAATTATATATCATTTTACACTATATCATAAGAGTCTCTTAATTATTTTGTACCAAATCATTCAGCAATTGTCAAACAGCCCCTTACAATGGACCTCATAGATCCCACAAATTGCACAGATCTCAATAGAAGACCCCCTTATATATGACATTAATATGTAAGATAAATAATTAAACTAAGTTTATAAGAATTTCTTGTTTATTACCCTAAATTTACCCGTTGTAAATTTTATTATGTTATCTTAAAGGAATGTAATGATAAGTAATGAAAGTTGTTTTTTTTTTCATTTTTGTCCGTTTATTTAAGTTCGTTTGTTTATGTTCATTTAACATCTTAACGAACGAACATGAATAAATACATTGTCTTAATAAACGAACATGAACAAACAAATTTCTTAATGAACAAATATGAACACAAAAGAATTCGTCCGTTTACATTGTTTGTTTAGCATCTTAACGAACGAACATTGAAGCCTTGTTTGTTTTTTTCATTTTTCATCTCTTAATTACCTCTTATGTCTGATTCGATTAGACGTTTTATAGTTCAGACCATTTGTTTTTTCTTGTTATCCAAAGCCTCTTATCTCTTGACATGGACCCAAAAAAAAAGGCGGTTGTCTAACTTCTTAAATGCCTCTTATTTTCTTAAGCATCCATCAATCAATTATTGCATTTTTTTACCATTAAAAATTACCTTTTTAATTTTCACAAATATATTATTTTTGTTTTAAGTTGTTTTACGAAAACAATAATTTCTTCTGTTACTAAACTTTCAATTTGAATTTATTATTTTCTAATTTTATAAAGAATTAAATAATTTGGTCACATTTTTGTTAAACCAATATAAGACAAATTTTTAAAAGTTTTTTTATTTTTATAATATTTTTGTAATAAATTTCTAACAATAAGAATTTATACATTTATCAGCTTACAAAAACAAACAGTCTTACTGATTCAGGTTTCAAACTTCAACACCATCTCTTATCAATCAAAAGTAAATTAAAACTTTAGACTTCAGCACTTCTTAAAAAACAAGCGCCACCTAATAGAGACATTTTCTTAATGAACACACCACCAAAGACACTTTTTTAACAAACGAACAAGAATACAAAAAAAATATGTTCGTTTATCCTTGATGTTCGTTCATTTGTTCAATTAAATTAAGTGAACGATAAGTGAACGAACATGAACACAAGAAGTCTCGTTCATATACCGTTCATGTTTGTTCGGTTTTGGTTAAGTTAAAAAAAAAACGAACACAGATAGAGTTTACAGCCCTAGCAACAACACAGTCCGTGTGTTTTTGGCTTTATTGATTCTAGGGGTAACAAAGTCGGTATGTGTTCTACTTGTTACTTGTAAAGTGGTAATGAATTACTTTAAACCACAAAGGTGGTGCCTAATTGGTTTGAGCTTGGCTCAAAAGGTCAAAAGTACCCGGAGGTCCCAGGTTCAAATCCAATGAGGAATAAAAATCTCCTTGTGGCCACAGAGGTACAAATGCGTTGACTCCGGGCTATCTGTAAAGCAAGTGGTCGCCCTGAGATTAATCAGCTCGCATAGCGGGTTGAATATCCAGGTTAATAAAAAAAAAATTGTTGGCCTTACTGTCAAATAGGTTGAATTAGAGCTAAGCTAAAATGCACCCCTATATATATAGTTACATGCAGGTTTACCTACTAATTTTCTCTTCATGAACATCAAAATCAATACTTACTTTTTACATTTCCAAATGCATGACTTAACTTGATTCTGACACTTTTGTTAGCCTCACTGCATTGACCTGTAAATTGGTCCATCAGTCGACTATTGTACTAGATATTAATATGCTTAAATCACACGGAAACCTTCCTCCAAACTAAAGTATTTCATTAATACTTCCTTTGTCCTAGAAAATAAATGTCCACAATGAAAAAGCATAGTTTTGGAAGGTGTAAACTGCTAAAGATATAAAAGGCTATAACTTGACATACAGCGTTGGTTAATGGACCTACTATACACAGACACTATTTGCACGCGACCAGTAGCTACTGAAGGTCGATGGACCGACTCCATTGATGGTTTAGATTCAGGAGATTGATTTTGTGCCACTTGCATTACGTTATTAAAGTTATCAGGACATTTAGGAGAACGATATGGTTCCAAACCTCTGCACAATTTGATTCATCATTGTGCAGAGCTTTGGAAGCATATTGTTCTCCTGAATGTCGTGATAACTTCAAAATGATGAAGCAAGAAGTACGAAATCAATCTCCTGAATCCGAACCATTAATAGATCTTCTTCAATAGAACAAGAAGAAGTGATTCTGTTTTCTAGTTTTTATGTATTATACAAGCAAGGATCTCGTATCGTATAGTAGTGTGTGTGTGTGTGTATAATGATGATGATCACTGTGAAGTTCTTCATCAGATGAGCTTTACCTTGTGATCGTCGGTGCCTATGATTTTAGTTTCAATGTCTCCTTCAGTAGCTAATGGATGTATGCAAAAAACGTCTGTGTATGGTAGGTGTAGCTTTCGTATATGCTACTATTGTTAATGCTTCTGATTCTCCTAGACTTGAATGTAAACGAAAAGCTTGTCCTTTTTCTGAGACCTAAAATGGACAAAAGAGCACACTATAACAATATGGTTTTGAATTTAAGAACCTTTTAATTGTGATGCATCATTGTCCTTCTTACATCAAGGAAATAAGACCTATAAGGTTATAAACGTCGTAGAGAAGGATAAATTCACTTATGAAGCCCAAAACAAACACACTCCTTGAGATTGGAGGGTCAATATTAATCATGCTGTAATACAGAAAAGAAAACGAATAGTAGAGAAAAATGGTGCATCACAAGGTCCGGATTAGCCAAAAACGGAAAATGGAGAACTTTAGCAGGCTATACCGGAATAGAAAAGAATAGAACAAATGATGGCCAAAGATCCAACAAGGTCGAAACAGCGTCACACCATAAGTATGGGTTTACAATCTATACAAGACACTTGATCCTCTCTAAATAGTAAGCCTAATTCTCTTCTCCAAAAGAATGCATTTACTACCATCGGAACATAAGTGACTGCAAATTTCAACATTTATTCTGCTTGATTCGCATTATGATATATCTAAAATCCCTATATATCTCCTAGAGATTCCACTTGTTTCACCAACATGAGCATAAGAATCCAATCCCATTTGAAAGCTAATTTGAAGTTCCCTTAAGGGTACGTTTAGTATCCAGACAGGACAAAATAGAACAGAATAGGACAAAACACTTGTTCAACGTTTGGTAAGACAGAATTGGACAAGACAAGACAAATAAACGGCCAAGTTACCCTTAATGAGTTGTTTATATATTTTACATATTTTTATTAATTACGTAATTTAATAAATTATAATAAAATATATATTTTTATAACAAAATATATCATTAGAAAGTTTTCGTCAACACGATTAAAATGACACGAAAATAAAAAGTTTATGTAGTTTCCAATTCTTATTTTACACGTTTTCTATATTATCATTTGATTATTAATATTTAATAAATTACAAAAATTAATCAAATATAGTAACCGTATAAAAATTATATCTTAGAACAGTAAAGTGAAAGTTTAAAGAACATAAAATACAATAAATAAAATTTAAAGAATAAATAAAATGTAAAGAGGAAAGTGTATTTGATGTTTTAGAAGAGAAATATATTGGTATAACATAAGTCTGTTTCCACCTTGTTCCATTGTTCCAGCTTGTTCCATGAGATGAGGGTGGAACAAGCCTGTTCCACTATGTTCCACAAAAAAAGTCCTGCCAAACATGAAAAGTGATTCATGTTCTTTTCCTGTCCTGTCCACTCAAACGCACCCTAAGGTCCATATAGATAGGGATAGCTAGTTTTGATGTTGGCTCAAGAGTCATATATGGATAAAGAAAAGGACGGAGCGAAAGAGATAAATATAAAGTGAACTGTGCAAACTATGGAAAGATTGTGCGGAATTATGTTGACTTCAATTACCTGGTCTAAAATCAACTTGCTTGTGAACTTCTGTGTTGTGAGTTTTGCTTGGTAACCAGTGAGCGTTGTGAGTTTCCTTGGCATAAATTGTGGTGAACCCTCGAGACGGATGCATAAACACTCAAGATTCTAATTGCATCATCTTCAACCAGTTCTCAAGTCATCAATCTTTTATGCAAGCCTTGCAATTAACGAAGAAATTCAAGGAATGAGAAACTAAAGCAGTTTACATGTTTACACACCATGAAAAAAAAAGAGCTCTGCACATCAATGTTTCCATGCTATCGCACAATAAAGCCCATTTGGTTTGACGGAACATTTTTGAGGGATTGGATTTAGTGAAAGTATTTAGAATTAGAAGGATTTGTAATCTTTGGTGTGTTTGGTTTATAGGATTTGAAATGGAATTGAATTCCATTCTTTATAAATAATTATAAAAATAATTAAATTATCTTTTTCTTAATTGAATATTATAAAACAAGTGTTTTTAACAAGTTTTATAACATTATTACAAAGAAATCCTATCGCAAAATATCAACTACCCCCATGAGATTCTAAATCCCATATTTGTGAGATTTCAATGAAATCCCGGGATTTCAAATCTAAGCACCTTCTCAAACCAACCACAGTATTAGAATGAAATTCAAATACAAATCCTATCAAAAACCAAACGGGATCTAAGATTATGTCTATGGCCAAGAACCGGTTGCCATGGCTACTATAACCGGCTTCCTGATACACCCAACCGACATTACATGTTGGGCTTAGTTTTTTGGGCCTCTTTATTTGGTCAACCAGTCAACACATATATTAGGTCTCACGCTTGTTCTCTTCTCGGTTCTTCACAGTTCACGCTTCTTCTCTTCTCGGTTCTTTCACAGTTCACGCTTATTTCTCTTATCGGTCTCCTTCATCTTCACGGTCTGGCTTCTTTTCTTTTCTCGGTCTCTTTCTCTTCTCGGTCTCTTTCTCTTCTCCAGCAAATGGTCAAGTCTCACGAAGAAGTGAACGTATTAGATGATGTTGACTCAGATGCCGAACCTATTGCTTGCAATTAGCTCGTTTTTGAACATTTTTCCTATTTTGTTTTGTGAGACTTGTTTATGTGATGTTTTAATTTTGAAACTATATTTCTAAACTCTAATTAATGCATATGATATGTTTTTGGATGCATACATATAACCGAAATATCGAATATCGGTTCTGACCCATATTTTGTATTTTGACCGCAGTAACAGCATACTCAATCTAACCCCTAATCAAATATCAACCCCCACCGAACCAGTCCCACGGTCATCATGAGGAGGTAATTGAGCAGTGCATCCTAAATGGCAGAAGGTGGTGCTTGGTCTAGAACCAGGACCTCACACATATGTATTACACCCACACCTTTACCGTTGAGGAGAGATCAACGACGACTAGTATATCATAACTAAAAATAGACAAAATGGACTATTCATGGCTGCTTGTAATTATGCCAGGAGTATGTGATGGTGGTTTGCGCCCATGTACCTATCCTATCCTCAAAGGTTCCCGAGTTTTAGCATCAGATAGTGAACTTGAACGAGCTTCTACGCTAAGATATCATATATGCAATTAAGTTCGTATAATAAATGTGATTTCCTAATTCAAATTTAAAAAAATGGTCTTCCAATGAACCTACTGTCATATGAAGTGCCCTAAACCCTAAACCACATGAATAAAATAAATAAAAAGGATATGGAAATAATTAGGGAGTCAAATGGTAACGGGTAAAGATGGAACAGATTTTCTCATACCCCTGAACTTTATATGCAGCAGCAATGAACCAAAAACAATCAGAACACTTAGTTCCAAGGATTACCTATCACGTATTTCGGAAGAAAACGACTTGCCATCAGTACCTAGAAACTTCGATTTTGATGCCAATTCTCAAAATGCATCATATCTTTAATTCTGGAGGAATTCATCTACAGAAATTCAAAAATATATCAAGATTAGGAAGCACATTCATGCTATATAGATAAAGGGAGACCAATTCAATTTCATATTCAACAATATGGAATGCAGACAATTTTAGTTAGCACTTGTATCCTCACGACTAATTGACGCAAGATATATAAAGTAACAACTCCCTCCTCGACTATGCACAATTTCCAATAAGCTACCATTGGTTTCTTGTAAGCAAGAAATTATAAGGCTAGCACATAAATAAACTACGGATTAATTGCTGACAAGGTAAACATCATTTTATCTGTTTGACAAACTTCTTACCCAAGGCCCTTAGTTTCAGAAAAAGCATATGCTAATGAAATCCGATATGCCTTCACTTCCTCCTTGTAGTCCTTCATGTTTCCAGCAACAGTATTTTCTCCTGTTTTTCAGAAGCCACGTCTCCAGCAGAGCTCTCTATACATTACAGAGCTAGATCCTGCCTCCACAAGAGATCAATCCTTCAAATTTTGGCGGTTTTGCATGACCATTCATGTAAAAGTAGCAACTGAACCTGCAGGTGCAACAAAGTTTTTCTTATACATTGTGACATCTAATGGAAAAAAAATACATGTAATAGTTGGTTTCCTCTGTCCAAATCAAAAGAGCATTTTTCTCACTGTGAAAGATTTCAAGGTCTGACTCACCTTGTCATAAAACTAATCAAAAAACCACGCTATTACTAGACTTATAAAAAACAATGAACCACTAATTTGATTAGAAAAGTTTATGAAAGCATATCAAGCTAACAACTAAAATGAACATGTTTTCCTCTTCATATATCCAACTCTTGTCAGCAGAATTTAGGAAAGTGAACCAAAAAGTCTTAACAATATCTTACCTAGTTGGCTATCACGTGCGATAAGAGAATCCCGTTTCTTGCACAGAAGTAAACTAAGAGTGAATTTGATCATGGATATAGAGACAAATGGAAGTAAGGTTTCATTGCTATAATGCGTAAGCATCTTAGCCTACACCTACTATATGCCTTAATGATTTAACTTGTTGACGATTATACCTCTAGACCATACAATATAGAATCTCTAATCAATTCAAATGACAACAAAATACAAGTCACACATACCTTCTCAGAGATGAAGGTGCCTATTTTGCTGGCTGGAATTTGGATTTTAATACATCATTTGGCACAAGTTTTTGGATTAGATCAGCAAAGTTAGAATCTTGTTCTTTTGCTGGGATCATATGAAGTAGCAAGTAAAAGGAAGATGCGTCAATTGAAAAACCCCTTGCATCCATTTCCTTCAGATGTGATAACACATCTTTTGGTTTTTTCCACCTCAGAATACCTTGAAGAATAATGTTGTAAGTGACACTATTTGGAAAGACTCCATTCTTCTCCATTTTAATAACAACCTCTTTTGCTTCCTCAATCAGGCCCTTGTTACAGAACCCATTAATCATGGCATTGTAAGTCACAATGTTCGGATGCAAACCTCTTGAATAAAGTTCACAGAAAAGGTCCATGGCAGTATCAAGCTTCCCATTCTTGCAGCTACCGTCAATAAGGACAGTGTACATGGCCACATTAGGATGTATCCCGTTTTTTATTATAATACGAAACAAAGATAGTGCCTTGTCCACCTGATGATTTTTGCATAGTCCATCCAATAAGACAGAATAAGTGATAAAATTTGGAGTTAGGCCTATAGATTGCATATGTTCAAAAAGTTCTAGAGCATCTTTTGATCTCCCCACCTTAAACAATCCATACAAGATCGTGCTGTACGTTGAAACTGTGGGTTCCAACTTCTTGCGAGCTATCTCCTTAAATAACTTCATTGCCTCATCTATGTTCGACCTTTTGCAATGCCCATTTATTAAGCTGTTAAGAGTGATGATGTTAGGCTCGATATTTTTATCAATCATGGTGTTGAAGACTGCTGTAGCTTCTTTCATTTGACCTCGCAAACAATATCCATCAATGAGTGCACTATACGAGACAACATCTGGTTGCTCACCTTTTTCAATCATGATACAGAAAACACTTTCAGCATCTTCTATCATCCCTTCTTTACAAAATGCATCCATGAGGATATTATAAGTGTGCATGTCAGGATTGATCTTTCTGATGTCCATTTCTCTTAACATTTGCTTAGCATCTTCCCAACGGCCTAAATTACAAAGACCATAAATAAGGGAATTGTAAGTAACAACATTAGGAAAAACTCTTTTACCAATCATTTCTGCCAAAAGGGTCAAAGCATCATCAACCATCCTATCTTTGCACAAACCATCAATGATTGTGCTATATCCTTCCTTGCTTGGTTTACAACCTTTTTCTTCCATATATGCAAGTAACCTAATGGCCATGTTGGTATTCCCAGCTTTACAGAGCCCGTTCATCAGCGTTCCATAAGTGACTTCATTCGGTTCACAAATTCTCTCTCTAATCAACTTCTTGAACAAAACCTCAGCCTCAAAAATCCTATCTTCTAAAACAAGACCTTTCAACAAAGTGTTATAAGTAGACACAAGCGGTTCATGACCACACTTCACAATACAACCAAACATAGCAAACCCTAAATCGATTCGTCTTAAATGAGAAAAACAGTTGATTGCAATGTTCATCATATAGGCATCAACAGAAATTCGCAGCAACCACAATTTATTGATCAAGGAAATAGCAGTGGAGTAATGCTTCATCTTCACGATATCCCCAAGGAGTTTATTGAATTCGAATAACAAAGGCAGAGGCTTCATATGTATCATTCGATTGAACAAAAACACAGCATCATTGAGCTTATCGAAACCCTTAACATACCTACCAGATCTTGCAGGCGTGGTTGAAAGCGATTTTGAAATTGAATTAGGGGATAATAGATTATTGTCCATGGAATTATAGAACCCTAACCACAACAAAAACGAAGGGTGCATTGAATCGAGAAGAAGAATACCTTTACGAGGAGTAGCAGATATGCGTACCAAAGCAACACATCCGACTCCCATCTGCATTCCACGAAACGGAAGTCTATAACAAGGACGAATACTCTGAGAACGGCTTCGTAAAAAGTGGGTAAACACTCGACTCTAGCCTCGATTTGGAGCTGTTTCTATTTGGGGCTGTTTCTATGGTTGAGTCACCTATTGGTTGGTTTCCATTAATTCTTGTATGATATATATTAAATTCTTGTTCGGTTGTGTTGTTGAATAATCAGTTTGAATGATAAAAATGACTATTTTACTCTCAATCTAGATCAAGCATCGTATAATACATTCCGGACAAAATTCTAACATATAAATTCGTTATAATTTCGATTGAAACTTCAAACACATAACCCATATGATCAAACATAAAGGCTTTATAGATTCAGGCTAATCTCGACTAAAATCCAAAAATCATCAAAAGCTTCAAGCACAAAACCCATATAGAATCACACTAATCTCGATTAATACTTACAATTTTGCACAAATGGAGGGGAGAACATCTTTTGTGAGGGAAGATTTGACGGAAAAAACATCGAGCTTCACCACTAGCTGAAAATGGAGACATACCTAATGTTCGCACCAAAAGCGAGGGAGGGAGGGAAGAATCAATCGTAATTTTTTTGATCTAGGAGGCATCAATCCATTATTCAGGATAACAGATTCAGGGCGTGCTTTTTTTTTTTTGGTTTTATCACAAGGGTATGAATGGAAAGAGGACGGTTGAGCGTATATGACTCTACCAATTGGACTGAGCGACTCAATGCATTTCTGAATTAGTAAGTCATTTCTGAACAACATTATATATGGCTTGTTGCACAAGTCATACATGCTATACATCCCATTAAGCTATTACCGAACATCCCTTGAATGTTAAATAGAAATTGATTGTTTGGAAACTATTGCGAATGAATCATTAATTATTATTTTATCGACTCCTCTGTTGAATAAAAATCAACTTTTAGAAAAAAATGAAATCTACGAGTAACTAGTTGTGTATTCGTGTAATGCGGTGGGATGTAAAATTTTGTAAATGTAAGTGAGCATATCAATTATGAAGGAATATTTATATTTGAAATTGTCAAACCCTAGACCTTATTAATTGTCGTAGCAAAAGCAAAGATTGAACGAATTCAAAATAAATAGTCCCCTAATTTATTAACATATGTTTTTCATACATCCATCCCAATAGGACCAATTAAAAATTAGGAAATTGCAAATGGACCAAAGACAAGAATCCAGTCTACAAGAAGAAATAACCACAAAAACATATGATACAACAGTAAAACTCCAATCAAATTAATTAATAAACCAATTGCCATTTGGATAACCAATGAAATGTCATAAACATCAGTCTGCAAAGGCAAAAATTGTTGCCACTCATGTCTAACAACATCAATCAAATTGGTAATGCCACCAAGGCTCATGCAACTTAGACGAAGATACTACAACTTGGATATATCACCATCATACATTGATTTTGAAGCTACTACAACGTCACTAGTAACGGTTTGACCCTGAAAAATATAAAGGTTAGCGGACTTTCTTTAAGCTTTCGTTGCCACTAACGCTCCCGTTTAACCTTGATGGATATGCCTTTATCAAGAACTCATAACCCTTTTCATCAAGCGAACTAAAAGAGATGAGATTCCTTTGAAGCTTGCGAACATGTTTCACATTCCCAAGTGTTCAGGTGATGCCATCATGCATACAAAATCTAATTGTGTCTTGACAAACAATAAGGTATGCAACATTGTTCCCCTTCATCACAACATCTTCGAAAACTTTCTCATATGTATGAAACAAACTATTGTTGTGACACATATGAAATGTGCAACCCAAGTCTAGAAGCCACTCTTCCATGGCCTTTGGTTTACCGCCAAAGACTGTCATGACTTCACCTTAACTAGCTCCACCTTCATCATGCTCAACAATGTCGGAATCCCCGAAGGAACCCATTGTCTTCTTCTTGGCTTTTGTTTTTGGCTTGGAGCTTAAAACACTCGTCAATAATATGACCTCTCTCCTTTTACAGAAGTTAGAAAAATTCTTTTTTACCACGAGATTTTGATCTTGATTTTCTTGGAGAGCTCGATCCTTTTTAAAATAGTCTTCCCCTTGCATTTAATCCCTCGGCCTTTGGTTCATTATCGAGAATTATTGCTTTTCATCTTTTCCTTTAAACTTAAAGCGGTATACACCTCCTCAAAAGTAGGGGAATCCATACCATTAATGATTGTATCCATAAAAGTTGTTATGGCAAAGAGCATAACAAAATTAGACCTAAATCCTCATCGTCATATTTCACCTCAAGATTCTTCAAGTCACCAACTATCTCTTTAAATTTTAATAGGCATGCAGTAATTGAACCACCTTCAGATAAACGATGGGCATATAACTTAAGCTTCATATGGAGCTTATTGGGCAAGCTCTTTGTCATAAGCATTTTATCTAGCTTACACCATATTCGACAAGTTGTTTCCTCTTTTGCAGCATCGTATATAATATTATTAGACAAATGCAATTGAATCAAGAATGAGGCTCTCAATTCATTTAGTTCTTCTTCTTCTTCTTCTTCTTCCTTTCAAGCACCAAGCATATATGCCCGTCCCAAAATAAATTTATGCATATTTTGTTGGATAAGAACATCTCTCATCTTTATCTTCCATAATGGATATCGGGTATCTCATTCCAGCAAAGACAATTAGACAAATGTTGGACGAAGAGAGAGCCGAGAGGAAGAAAAACGCTGCACAGAGAAGGAGCCGAGATCGAGAGGGCAAGAGGCGGACAACAGACTTGAAGAGTTGGATTGGACTTTGGAGGCAATAATGGAGTAATGGACTAAAGGGTTTTCTTAGGGTTTCATGATAATTAAGAGTAATGGAGACGATTGGAATTTAGACTTTCATCTCACAACGGTAGAATTTTTAATTAAGAATAAAACAAAATTAAAAATTAGAATACTAGATATAATATTAAGAATAAAATAAAATTATACAATATTTTAGATGAGTTGGAAACAGGTTGAAAACATGTTATAAACGGGTTGAAAACAAGTAGAAAAATTCAACCAAACCCAACCCATTTATTTAAATGGGTTAGGCGGGTTGACCCATTTATTTAAATGAGTTGAAAATCTCAACCCAACCTGCTAATTCTATATTAGGTTAGGATTGAGTTAGTGAGTTGAGTCAATTTTTGCCACCCCTAGGCGTGGGAAGAAGAAACACATGGAGATGGGAAAAAAGACGACGTCGTCGTGTATGCTTGATGGAAGGAGAAACAATGTGTATATAGTTTCGTATGCATCGACATATATAAACAATATAATATTTACTTCAATTGTCAAATAAAATTAGTAAAAAGGTAAAATACGAGAATACCCATAATTTACCAGATAATTTTTAAGGGAATTAGTGTCAATAACCATTTTCAGAATAAAATGCAAACCACAGGGATGATTTCTACGCTTATTAAAAGTTAGGTATCATTTTCAAAGATTTCACTAAAGTTTAAGGACTAAAATTGTAGTTTACTCTTCAATATAAAACGAAAGGTTACTTTATTAATCTTATTCGGAAGGAAAAAAAAGTTATTTTTCCAAAACAAAATATAGCCGTTGCACATAATCTCCAACGGTTATATATCTCACCATAAATTCGTGAAATCAGAACCCTCTCTTTCATTTGAAATTAAAACTTCTGCTTTCGCTAATGGTTATTGTTACCGGATAAGGTTATAAGAGCATCTTCAACATCATCCCTAAAACGATTACTTATGAATGAGAAATAATATTTTATTGTTCTCATCAATAAGAGTATTTGAAATTAAATATATAAGAGACGGAAACAATATTTTATTAAATGTAATAAATATTTTAATAATATAGTTGATATTAATCTCTAAAATAGAGGATCTGTTGGAGATTAATGTAATATTTTTTTTTGGAGATTTTCATTTAAGATCCTCTATTTTAGAATTTTTAACAGTTTATTTTATCATTTCATTTTAGGGACCTAAGATGTTATCTCGTGTAAACCAAAACCCAAAATTGTAATTTACTTTATAATATAATGAAATACAAAATAGAGCGAATTACATGTTTGGTCTCTATGTTCTGTTTTAACATCGGCACCTAAGATGTTATTTCGTGTAAACCACATAGCTTTTTCCCATAGTTATTTTCATACAGACAAAACATGTAATTCACTCTATAAAATAATATAATATATTATTTTAAAAAGTTAGAAAAAATATTAAAATGACCAATTTCATTTTCTTTAAAAATAAAATTAATTAATATAATACATATTATTATTGATTAATATTAATATATATATATATATATATATACCAAGTATATACACAGTCACCATACAGAACACCAATTTACTTTCATGAACCCAACACAACAACAGATCAAACGCAAAAACAAAAAACATGTACACAAAAACACAATCAAGCACAAATAAATCAAACACAACCATAACCAAACCAAAGAAAAAGCAATGTACGAACAAATCTAGGTCTTCTAATCAAATCATTATATATAGGGGTGTTCGTAGTCTGGTTTGGACGGTTTAATCCTCCGAACCATAAATCAAACCGTAATGGTGGTTTGGTCGTAATTAATCAAACCGGTCAAATGACCACAAATTTGGTATTTTATGAAAGCGTTGGGTATGCTTTTATAAAACCTTTTTAATATTTTGAAAATTAAAAATACATACAACTTTCATAAAACATCAAAATAAATAATACTTTATTCAAGAAAAAAAAAATGCAATTTTAATAACAGAAAAATAAATTTTATCAAATGTTTAAAAGTTTTTTAATTAAAAAAAACAAATTTATATCAAAATATATATTATTGAATAAATCTATTTTTAGAAAACGTGTTTCATAATATTACAATTACTAAATATATAATTCTTTAAAAATAATTGCCATGGACATACTGAAAACTTGTTAGATTTGTTAAAACAATTTAAAAAGAATTTTTTGTAATATTTAAAAGAGAAAAAGCATTAATATTTAAAAAAAAAAAAATAGAGTAAACTAAAATTTTGGACCTTGAGATTTAATGAAATCTCTAAAAATGGTACCTAACTTTTAATAAGTTTAAAAATCATCTTTGTAGTTCACATTTTGCTTTGAAATCGTGCATGACACTAACTCAGCTAAAATGAAGGATATTTTTGTCTTTTTACCCATTTTTATAAGTTTTTTAAAAAATTAACGAAAATATTATATATATATATATATATATATATAGAGAGAGAGAGAGAGAGAGTATTTTATATTACTGTTGTTAAAAAGCTAAAACCTAACTCTATTTTGTCCTCAAATTCACAAAATAAACAAGCTTGCAACTGAAATTTTCTATATAAATACAAACAATATAAATATCTTATTTAATTTAATTAATAAACAGGATAAAAAGACTGAAGTACCCCTCATTTAACCGATAATTTTCAAAACGAAATACAAACCACAAGGATAATTTCTAAACTAAATAAAATTTAATACCATCTTTAGAGATTTCACAAAACTTGAAGGACCAAAAATGTAAAATAACCCCAAAGTGTTTACTTTAATTATATCTCAAAGAAAGAAAAAGAGAAATAAAATTAATTTTTCCAAATGGGAATATAGCCGTTGCCCCCATGTTTCCCAACGGCTATCTCCTCCATAAATCCCCTATATTTCAAAACCTTCATCTCAAATCTAACAATCCATCCTCCCATAAACATCCAGATTCTTTCCATTTTCTAAACTCTTCTCCACAAGATGAATGATTTAATGACCAAATCCTTCACCAGCTACGTAGATCTGAAGAAATCTTCCATGAAAGACCAAGATCTGGAAGCTGGTCCGGATCTCGATCTCCAGATGCAAACAATTCAACAACCAGATCACAATCTCACTTCTTTTCTCCAAGAAGCCGAGCTCGTCAAGCAGGAGATGAACTCCATTCGTGAAACCCTAGCTCACCTGCAATCAGCGAATCAGGAGTCAAAAACTCTCCACAATCCCGATGCGTTGAAGTCTATCCGACGTCGTATCAACGGTGATATCGTCACTGTGTTGAAGAAGGCGAAGACGATTAAATCACGGCTGGAGGAGATGGATCGAGCGAATGCGGAGAGCAGGAGGCTGTCGGGATGTAAAATGGGGACGCCGGTGGATAGGACGCGAACGGCGGTGGCGAATGGACTGAGGAAGAAGCTTAAGGAGTTGATGATGGATTTCCAAGGGCTGAGACAGAGGATGATGAGTGAGTATAAGGAGACGGTTGGCCGGACATATTTCACGGTCACCGGCGAACAGCCTAATGAAGAAGTGATCGAAAAGATCATTTCCAATGGAACCGACGGACATGGCGGTGAAGAATTCTTATCAAGAGCCATTCAGGTATCAAATCATTCATTTAACTCTATATGCACAATTTCGAGCTTATTTCCAGAGCTACAATAGTTGGATCCACACCAGTAATGCTTTAGTAACTTGTACTTTATGCAATACAATTTGTACATTGATTTGAATCTGGTAGAAGAACTTCCTCCAAATAGGTGTGGGCCTATCTTGGTGAAATTATGATTAAATTTTATATTATATGTATATAAAACTCCTTAAATTTCAATTTTTTGTTTAAATCCCATTAATTAAATAAAAGTTTTGTAGATATTTATGGCTTTTCTGATTTGTTACATTTCTAATTTGATCGAATTTTGTTGGATAAATAGGAGCATGGGCGGGGGAAGGTGTTGGAGACGGTGGTGGAGATACAAGACCGCCACGATGCCGCCAAGGAGATCGAGAGAAGCCTACTAGAGCTCCACCAAGTGTTCTTAGACATGGCAGTGATGGTGGAAGCGCAAGGGGAGAAGATGGACGATATCGAGCATCATGTCATGAACGCGGCTCATTACGTGAATGATGGTACTAAAAACCTCAAAACGGCAAAAGGGTACCAAAAAAGTAGTCGAAAATGTATGTGTTTCGGGATCATACTTCTTCTCATCATCATACTCGTGATCATCATCCCAATCATCACGAGTTTTAGCAAATCTTGAGGTTGTTTAGCAAATTAAGGCTACATATATGTGTCCTGGTTATATATTTCGAATTTGATTCGTTTTTTATGTTTTTACTCTATTGTATGTTTCTTTCTATCGATTGAAAGTCAGATCTATTAATACTAAAACTATGGCTCTTGTGATTTTCGTGACTCGATACCATTTCTTGTTTTTGTTACATATAAGTTCCAGAGTATGGTTTGGGATTACGTTTTAAGATTGAGTTCTGATAAGAATGAAAGTTATGGTGAGAAAAAATATGAAGACTATTTGATCAATTCTAATTGAATATCAATACTAGTGCGATTCAGATCAATTTCGTGATAAATGCAATTGTGGGGATGAGATCAAAGTGATTGAGGATTCAGATCCATTCTTATATTTCTTAGCTTAACTTCTATTCTCACATGATCCTTAAAATATACTATGGAAAATTGTACCTAAATATTGAGCATCTACATGTTTTTGAATATGATTCATTTTTATTATAATTTCTATGTAATGAGTACGTTAATTGTTACCCCGATTCTTATTTTAAGCAGTGTATATAATTTTTACATTACCTAACAACTTATAATTTCAATCATGAAATAGGAACATGATTTTAAGAGCATCTACAATAACTATACTATAATTTTTCTATACTAGTATCAACAGTTAATCTTTTTTTAGAAAAAAATTATATTTAACTACAACAGCTACTTTATTTTATCAATTATATCATTAACAATATTATTAAACATTCAATACTTTTAATAAAATATCATTTCTTTTTCTTAAACACTTAATTGGTGAGAAAAAAAAAAATTAAATATCATTTCTTCCTTTTAATATGAGGTATTAGAGATTTCTCCACCTTTATATTCTTTTTCTCTATTATAACATATGGTATAACATAACTGTTGAAGATACTCTAAATAACAAACTGCTCAAAAAATTTAGATAAGCATTTTTTAAAAAAAATTGGTGATTAAAATCAAACTTCAATTAAGATTGCAAGTGGGCTAAACAAATTGGAAAGGTAAAAAGGGTAAGGATAAAGAGTTTAAACTACAAACTTAGTTAGGGGATGTTTGAGATTGTTTATTTGTAACAATTTATATTTTTTATAAAAGTCATTATTAACTTATTATAAGTTACAATGATTTAACTTCTTCAAAAACTTCTTAAATTAGCTGTTTATTCAAACACTCAAAAATGTTTATTACCGATACCACATCGGAATAAGTGAATAAATTGTTTTTATAAGCAATCACAAACACCCCCTTAATGTGGTTTGTAAATATAACACTTTTTTGTTCATATAGTTTTAAAATTAGAATACGGCCATCATGGTATGTAAAAATATCAAGATTTGTTCCGTCCTAATTAGCTGTTGAAAAGTTCCACCAAATGAAGGACATTTTCGTCTTTTTTTTTGTCTTTTACCTGATCAAAAACCAAAGGAATCAAAAAACATAAAAATTGATTTTGATCGGGTAAAAGACAAAAATTCGATAAAAGAACAAAATGCTCCTTATTTAAGAGTTTTTTTTAGCGACCGTGAGAGAGAGGTCAAATGTTATGAATTTAAAGCTGTACGGACAAAAATGTCATTTTTTAACCAACCACAAGCACCAAAATTATAGTTTACTCAAAAGTTTAAAAGCAAATTAACTTTTTGCTCCTTCATTTTTAATTCATTATTATTATTATTTTCATTTTCTATATTTAAACAAAAATAATAATTAACCGTAAACCAAATGGAAACTGCAATTTCAAAACCCAATTTTTTAACAAACCGTTAGGACGACGTAATTTACTCAGAATTTAATAAATATTTTAAAATCACATTTTAGTGGGATCTAAATATGTAAAAAGAGTGCGAGATAAATAAAAAACTTACGGTTTTAAAAGAGTTGAGTGAGTCGATTGACACTACAAGGTGAATCTCAATAATTTGAGTGGCTTAAATTTAACTTTTATCTATTAACTAGTTTTCTAACCGTGCGTTACGCGGTAGCGATAATATATTTTTCAAAAGAAATGTTATAGACTAAATTTGAAGTACTATTCTAAAAAAATTTAGACAAATGTAAGTGACAACTACTCATTAACATTAAAAGTTTTTAAGATGATTTGACAACAATCTTAGAACCATATGCTAATTTAAGTTATCTAACTATGCTTGAGAATCGTGTTGTAAAGTACTCTACAAATGTTTGACTAATGTTAGTAGTTTGTCTAATTAGAAGTCACAGTTTTAATTGAAATCTCATCTAAAGTGACAAAATCACGATTTTAATTTTATAACAAATTTAATTGAAATCTCATTTTTGAAGTTACGACAAAGAAACGTTCTATAATATTTCTAGTGAAAATTAAAGGAGTGCGTATGTTGTAGCAACAATAGTGGAAGTCCAATACGATGCATGAAGAACCACATCATCAATCTCAGAAAATGGATTTTTTCTGTTAAAAAATAAAATTAATATCAAATGGGGTCGATGACCCACATATCAGATATAATATTTGAATTGTAATTAGAGGGGTGTGTCAAACCGTGATAGTATTAACATCAAGATGACAGATAAATAAATACCTCATGTTGTCAAATTATCATCATTGGTTTCACTTTTATATTTGCACTATAATTTTTACCATTTAGTTGGTTTCTTATACACCTTACTTTGTTCAAAATTTTTAACTCTTCATCAATGTGGGACAAGTAAAACTCAACAACAATTMACCATTTGAGAATACGCAATTCTCATGATGTCACCTCAATACCSAAGGTTTTCTTWTATATATATAAAGATAAATATTTTTTCTATTTGGTTGGTTTTGATCCCAACCATGGTTATAGATTTCAAAGAGATCATCCAAAGTAAGACAACCCTAAGAGACAAACATCATTRRTCGACACAAAAGCACCATTCCATCTTTTTATACACTTCAYTTTGTTCAAATCTTTCAMMTCTTCACCAATGTGRRACAAYTAAAACTCAACCACAATTCACCATTTGAGAATACTCAATTCTCATTGTACCACCTCAATACCCCCAAGGTTTTACTTTTATAATTCTCATGGTGCCACCTCATCACCCGAATGTTTTACTTTATATATATATATATATATAATATAATTAATTTTGCACTATAATTTTTATCATTTGGTTGGTTTGGTTATAACCATGGTTATAGATTTCAAAGAGATTCATTCAAAATAAAACAAACTTATAAGGCAAACCTCATTATTTGACWCAAAGGCATCCAATCCACTTTCTTTATAATAATATAATTAATTTTGCACTATAATTTTTATCATTTGGTTGGTTTGGTTTTTAACCATGGTTATAGATTTCAAATAGAATCATTTAAAATAAGGCAAACCTCATTATTTGACACAAAGGTATCCAATCCACTTTCTTATACACTCCATTATGCTCAAATCTTTCAATTCTTCATCAATGTGGGACAACTAAAATTCAAGTACAATCCACTATTTGAGAATACTCAATTTTCATTGTGTCACATCAATATCCTAATAAGATAACTTTATGACTCGTTGAGCTAACACAATATAAAATTTGTTTTGCAAAAATAAGGTCATCCAAATAAGATAACCTTATGACTCAAACCTCATGAGTTGACACAATAACTCTCATTCTTTTTTCTTATACACGCCTTCTTAATCCAATCTTTCAATCTCTCACCAATGTGGGATATCTCAAACTCAACCATAATTCACCAACACCTTAATACTCAATTCACATGATGCCACCTCAATACTCTTGGTTTTTCCTATATATATATATATATATATATAGGGGCTGGTTCAAATAGAAACCAACCATATGGTACAAACTATGTGA